TTTTTTTTTTTTTTTTAATTCAGAATCTGCTTCCCCTCGCGTTTCTCCGTCCGTCTCCTGCCAGATGCTAACAGCATGATATTTTGCAACCATTTAGGTGAATACAAGAAGGACGAACTCCTGGAAGCTGCGAGGTGGGTGCCGCTCCGCGACATAAAGCTCCTTGCTGAGGGAGGCCTGCGGGTTCAAGGAGAAGGAGAACGGGGTTTTCTCCCCGAATCCCTAGCATTATTCCAAGGCGAAAAGGCGCCGCTCAGCCCCGGCGCAAACGGCCAGGGCTGTTTATGTAATTGAAATACTGGAATCCCCCCCACCGTTGTGGCGATGGGGTTAATATCAATTGAGGTTTTCTCTGCTTTAAGCTGCTTAAATCCTATTTATGGTTTTGTGGCTGTTCTTTTTAGGGGGAAATTGAATACTGGCAATTTTTTTTTTACCTTGCTCCCGTAAAGCTGATTTTCAGAATATTTCCTATGAGAACAGAGCAAAAGGAAGTCTGTATTCCAGGGATGCTTTCATCCTTTCTCTGGCAGCCCCCAAAATGGTTGTCTTTAGGCTGTTTGGCTTTTTTAAATACATCACGATGTTTTGCTGTGGCCGTATGAATTTTATGAGCTGTGAGGAATTCTTGCTAACTAGCATTGGATTCAGAAAATGGCTTTCAGCGGATCCGTGAAACGAGCTGAGGGAGGTGGAGGACGAGGTAAAAGAGAAGATATCAAGCAGTGTTTTTGCATGATTGCTGCAAATTGAACAGCCTTTCCTGCATTTGCCTTCGGTTTTGAAATGCTCAGGTCCTTTGGCCATTTGACATCCTTTTGGGCTGAGTATAAATATCAATATATGGTAGTTTGATACCTAGCTCCTTGGTAAATTTTAAATAAATATCAATATGTGATAACTAGCTATCTAGCTCCTTGGTAAATTTTTTATCAATATCAATATGTGATCGCTTGCTGTCTAGCTCCTTGGTATTTATTTATTTTGCAGAGAGATGGGTCGTTTTCTTTTCTCCCCTTTCCCTAATGCCCTCCTCTCCATTTACAGGAGCGGTAATGAAGAAAAACTGATGGCTTTATTGACTCCTCTAAATGTGAACTGCCATGCAAGCGATGGGCGTAAAGTAAGTGAATACCCCTTTCCTATTTCTGCTGTTCAAAAAAGATGATTTTTAACCCTATAGGGAAGCACAGGTGCATAAGCCATGCTATGGGGTGTGGGTGAAACCTATGCAATGTCGTATTTTTTCCCCACGAGGCAATTAAATGCCATTTTCCCTGATCCTGGCAGGTGCAAGAGCCCTGCTGTCGGCAGGCATGGGTTGTGAATGGATAGTTTCTTGTACATGTCAGAGCCCAGCACACACCCAAAGCGAAACCCTGGAAGCTTTGACTGGAAAAACAAAATAGGCTGCTGCAGGTGAATAAAATAAAATATCCCTGTATTTTAACAGAGTCTAGGTGAGGGCGCTGATACCGTCCTTAGCTCCTGATGCTCTGCCTCTTTTGACTGCCTGATACACTGATATGATTCTGCATTTTCTTGACTTCAACCTTCTTGTCGTATTCAACTTTCTGTGCCGGGGGGGTGGTTTGAGTGGGGGAGATCAAGAATTGGGCTGGAATTGGAGGAAGGAGGAACAAATGCCGTGAGAAGCAGATCTTGCGATTTATGGCGTTTTAGATGCCTGAATAATTAACAAGCACTGGTCTGGGTAGACTGCTGGCTTTGCACACTTGTGTGTGTATGTGTATTTATATGTGTATTTATATATATATTATATATATGCACACATACACCTTGTACCAGAATGTTCTCAGCCTGCATCTATTGGAAAGGTCTCTCGCGTGTAAAGGTGCAGCTCCCTCTCCAGCTCTCGAGCTGCTGAAGGAAAAACATGGGAGCTTTTCCCAATATTTTATTCCCTGTATTTTATATGCAGCGCATTAGAGGATGGTGTAACGGGCAGCCTGGTCTGCAGCTGCTGGGCATCGTCTGCGCCGCGCCGCCTTTGCATGCACAGACCTATTGCCTGTAAGAACGTGGCTTCTTTGTGAAAATACTCCTATTTTGAGAGAATTTTTCAAATGGCTCTCGAATTGTAACACCCAGTGTTTTAAAATACACATATCACCTGGGGCGCTTGGGTTTCCCCTTTTTCTTTTCAAGGACCTCCCTATTGAAGGCGCTTGCAGTGGGATATTGCTCTGTGCTATTGCAATTAAGCGGCGTGTTGCTGAGTAATCGAGCCCCCTTGCTAACGAGCTAAGGCCAAAGGCAGAGCTGGGGTTGCCATCAGTGAGGAGAGGAACAAGCCCTGATGGAGGCGCCACCCTCTAGGGTATTTAATGCTCCAAAATGAAAAAAAAAATAATCTTATTAAACTAGTGGAGATTATTTATGTGTTATTGCAAATTGGCTTGAGGAATCGCTGTGTGGAGCTCAGAGAGCATTTTGCCTTTAAAATTAGCCAATTTGGGCACTCTGGTAATTGGTCTCTGTGTTTGATTGTTGCTAACACGCTGGCTATTAAAACACGCTAAGAATTAAGGTACCTTGCCATTGATTTTAGGTATTTTTTATGTTGAGGCCTGTTAGATGTATAGGCCATACACCACCATAAATGTGCAGAATGGTTAAGGTGAAGTAATTCCCCATAACACGGGCACTGTATAACTGCGTTTTTATTTTTAAGCATTTTATTTTCAAGGCATGATTCTCATGTGCTGCTACGAGATCTCTGGGGTTTTAATCTTCCTAAGCAGCGCTGCAAATCCAGTGAACTTTGCAAATCCAGTGGGCCTACAGCACAGCGCCGTGTCCGCTTCCACGTGTGCTGCGCTGCTTCGTGCAAGCCAAGGCTTGGGAAGCTGCGTTTTCCATTTCTCTAGGCCTGGGTCAGTGATTTCCACCCCCTTTTATTATTATTTTAGTTCTCATACGTGGTGTTTTCTAACGGCGGCCGTAAGCAACACGGTTGCTTTGCTGCGTTGCTTCCTCAAGGCCTGCAGGCCGCAGTTACCACAGCGCGAGGCGCAGGACACAGACGCACGCACCTTCGCCAGAAGGTTCTGCACCTTCACCAGAAGAGCCTTTTTCCCCAAAAGTGTGTCCTGTTCCATTTAGTCCTGCCTTTTTTTTTTCTTCTTTCTTTTTAAGGGGAGATTGAAAAAAATCACAGAAACCCTTGCGTCTGGTGTGATATGTAACATAAAATTTGCAGGCCGTGCTGTTACTCCTCGGCAGGCTCCGCAGAGTATTTCCTCTGTCAAAATGGAGCTTTCTCAAGGTTCAGTTCTAGGTGAGTTTTCCAGGACTTGCTTTTGAATATTTTAAAGTAGTCCTTCCTACCTGTTATTTGAAGTTAAAGCTCTATTAATGTGTCCTGGGAGCTGCATTCCTGACTTGTTAGAATAATCCCAGCTTCCATCACCTGCTAGCTAGCAGTAAAAGGAAAAACACTGTTTGAATAAAACGTGTCCTGGCGGCAAAGGGAGTTGAAAAGGTCTCTTGGCTTGCTCCTTTCCTTTGGAAAGCAGTTCCTGTGGACACGTGGAAGGTGCTCCGGGAAGAAACGCTCATTGGGTTTTCAAATACACCTGCAACTTGCGCATTGCAATGCTTTGTTGTGTTGTGCTTTCCTTTTTTGAAAAAAGAAATTAAAAAATGGTGTTGGAAGGGAATGCCACTGCTTTGGCTCCTTGTGCCCCTTCCCAGCTCCTAGTCCTTGCAGCTTCCAGACCTGGTCTCCTTGGTGCTTGCTCTTATGCCTCCGTTTCCCGCCTACATGTAGACAAGTAGCCTGATGCCTCCCCAGATCCTGCTCTGGGAGCTCTTTGGTGGGGATTAGCTTGATGTTGGTGGGATTGCGACTTCCTTTTCCCCCTACCCTTTTTTATCTCGGTGTGTTACGTACAACCAGCCCAATGGGCCTCAACGCAGAGGGCTGATGAATAGAAATGGAATCAGCCCCAGCAGGTGAGTTATGTCCCCTCGTACCAGGGAAAGGCTCCAATTTGCTGCTGGAAGGTGGGTTTGCCAGCCACTGCCTCAGCACTTTGACTGTTCTCAACCATTTCCCTGAGAAATTCCGCAGCTGGGAAGAAAGATGGCTTGCTTTCCAATTTCTGCACCCGTATGGAGCAATCGATCCGTGTTTTCGTAAGCTTTCCCTCTGCTGTTATTAGACCTGGACACTTTGGCAGAGGTTGAAGTTCTGTTGTAATCAGCTTGTCCCTCGGAGATGGGGTTGAAGAAAAACACCACGTACCGCAAGATTTGTGATCAAGTTACACACCAGTGACGCTAGAAACCTTTGCAATTGCCCACATTTTTCCTTTGTTTCAGTAATAAAAATCAGAATTAATAGCACACGAGCCTGTAGGCCTGGTAGTACTCTAAATTTGTGATGTGCAGATGATACTCAGATGAATACTGAGCATCTTTTGGAAGAAAGGATTGAAACCTCACATGCAATGACAAGTGTGTTGCCTACATCTCTTGAGAAGGCTCTTCCACAGGCAGAAGAAAATTAGCATTTTATCTTCCTGAAGATTTTGCCAGCTTTTCTGCTTGTTCACGGGGCTTGTGGTGGTGGTCGAAGCACCGGAAGCCTCCAGTCTTGAGGCTTGAGATGCGATGGAGGAGCGAGGAGCAGTCACTGAAACCAGATTCGCCCTTGACTCTGTGTGCGAGTCCTTGGGCTTCTCCTTTAGTAACCTGATCACAACCAAGTGTTTAGCTAAAAAAAAGGCATTTGATTTCAGAAGCAGCAGCATCTCCCCCCACAATCAATCCAAAGCGGTTATTGCAGGCACGTTTCGCTGAATCTCTTCATTTGCCCCTTACTTAAGCAGTCTGGTTTTGATGAAGTGCTGCCAAGCACTTTTATGGGTGGGAATTATGCAGCTTTTGGAGCTCTTCCTTTGTGGTCCTATGAAGGTTATGTAGGTCTTTCGTGATACACAATTACAGCTTTTTGGAGCCGCAGTTACACGAATAAGCAATAACAATATATGCAGTTAGTTAGTGTTTGCTAACAAAATGCTGGCCCCGACCGGTGTTTTTTAGACACTATTGTCTCTCTTGACACCGATGCTCATCCCCGTTCTGGGGGCAGGTACCTCCTTCTCGCTTGCTTTGGTTCCAGCCCCATCCTTTGGCAAAGGCCTCCCATGCCCCCAAATGCAGGAGGATTTATTGCTCCTTCAAATTCCTTACACTAGTCACTGCTCAAACATTGTCTTGCCTGCCTAGTTATTATTATTACCTTCTCTGACAGAGCTTATGATGCTCTTCTTGAACAATGCCTTCTAAATTCCAGTTATCCCCTTTAATAGCTGGGCTGGCTGCTCTTCTCACGTCATGCAGCCCTTCCATACCTGGGTTGCTGCTATAGCTCCATGCATCAGTTGCTAATATAACTGCAGTTATAACTGCGGAAATATAATTTCTGAGCATAGTATTGGTGATCCACTTGTGCTGATCAGACAGCCCTGTTTCTTGAAATTTTGAAGAATGGAGCTGAAATTATGAAGAACGGTCATATTTATTGACCATAATTTTCCAGTTTAGAAGCACAGTAAAGCAGAGCACAACACGCCCTTTCTGTCGTCTTTTGCCCCTCTTTTGCAAGGCGGATTTTTTTTGTATTAGTTCTGCAGAGAAGCAGTGAAATCCACTTGCCTGGATTATAACGGCATTAAATTCCAAGCCCTGCAAGTTATCACCGCAACGTGCAAAGAGCATTTGGTAAATCTAATTTTGTGAATTATTTTAGATTTTTTTTCTTGTATGTATTAATCTGATTCCGAAATGTCAAGCATAAATATATTTTTATTTCACTGCGAGCACTGATGCTGAAAGGCAATCAATTTGCCAGCATCTCTCTTAGCCGAGCTCTTTCTTGCCTGGTGTTTAATAAAAGGGCTAAAGTGCTGGCTTGACTCTCAGGTTAGTGGGGGGAATAGTCCAGTGAATATATTCTGAAAAAAAATCCTGCCAATAAAAGCCCGAGACGTTGCTGGTGTGAAGGGGAAGAGGGAAGCTGCTGGAAGAGGCAGGGAAGAGCATCTCCTCTTCCCGTGTGTTGAATTTAAGCCGTGATTTAAGAAGTTGCAAGTGTTGCCCTCCCTTACCCGTGAAGCAGCCTTCACATTTACATGTATACATAGATGTATTTTGTTACGTATATAGTTTTCTCGTATTAATGGGAGGTGATGAGATGGAGGCACCTTGCAGGGGCAGCTCATGGTGCTGTGGTTTTAGGGCTGCTGGTTGCTGCTTCCAGGCGCTGCAGGAGCTGCGTGGTGACCTTGGTACCACCACTGGTTTAATTCTTTTTTTGGGGGGGGAAGTAACCCTCTGTAATGACCAGATTGCGTTGTATCCATTTATCTTGGAGGCCCTTCGCATCCGTAATTACCATGCAAGCCAGGTCAGTGTTGTTAAACGTTAAATCTGCCATCTTCCTTAGTGCTCTTTCTCATGAGAACGGGGTAGAAGCCCTTAAAAAAAAGTATCACCAAGGCAGGACCTTCCTGCTCCTCTGAGCATCCCCAGTGAAACGTTTGTAAGTGCCTCGTAGCAGCCTGGAAGGCCCCCGTCGCCAGCAACGTGGGATGCAGCAGACCCGGTAGGGAAATGGGTTGGGGGGAGTCCCTCTTTTAGTGAATACTTTGGCAAAAAAGATGCAATAACCCCCAAACCTTCAGGAGGTGGAAAGGCGTCTCTGCATACCACTTGTGGCCATGCCCCGCGTCGCAGTGCTGTAGGTGCAGCCCCTCTGCTGTCCACAGGGAGCAGGGCGAGCTGTTTCCATTTGGATTCTTTTCTTTACCGCGTGCCCATAATGGTGGGTCAGCCCCTGCAGCGTCTCCAGGCCTGGCTTCCAAGAGCACTTCAAACCGCGGATGGGAAGAGAGCGGAGGGAAGAACCGGGTTGTTTTGGAAGCGCTCTGCTCAGGCGCAGCAGCACGGGCTGCAAGGATGTGTGCGAAAACTGCTTGCAGCTTAAAACCCAGTGTGAATTAAGCCCGTACACCGAGTTTCTCACTGCCCTCGGGACTGCCTGGCTGCTGTGCCGCCTCGGCGCGCCGCGTGTGTGAGCGTGGCCGATGGCAGGAGCGCAGGGTGTCAGCCGTGACGGTGCCCCGTGCTTCTCTTTGCAGTCCACCCCTCTGCACCTCGCCGCGGGCTACAACCGGGTGCGCATCGTGCAGCTCCTGCTCCAGCACGGCGCCGACGTCCACGCCAAGGACAAGGGGTAAGGCGGCCGGGACGGAGCCGGCTGAGGAAGTGCCTCCCTCCGGCATGGAGCTGGCCCAGGATGGCACGCTCGCTGTCAAACCCTGAATGCAAACTTTGTGAGGGCCCTGATGGACACGCCAGTTCTCATTAGACCCATTTTCAGTCCCTTATTACATCTCAGGTTGTTTTCCCAATCCCTATCTTTTGCTTCTGGGCACGGGCTGCCCTATAAAATACGGGGCTTCTGCCGTTACCTTAGGGAAGTTGGGGCGATAAGTGACGCCGGCATAAAGATAAATCTGTAAAGATAAAACATGCCTCTCCCAGGGCTCCTGCACAGTGAAATAGGTTGTGCTGTCAAATAACACAGTTAAATCAGGTGGATTTTTTTGCTGGAAAAGGCTGGATCTCCCTAGTAGACAGCAAACCTTGGTTTTTAAACATTTGGCTTTTAAAATTTACTTTCCCCTTCTCTCTGAGAGAGAGAAAATAGTTCCCGCGTCTTGAAAAAGTGCTGGTTAAATGCTCAGGTCTTCCCTCTTTTGGCGCAGGGGTCTCGTGCCGCTCCATAACGCGTGTTCCTACGGGCACTACGAAGTTACGGAGCTGCTGCTCAAGGTAAGCGGAGGGACAGGGGGGTAAGTGAAATGACGGGGGGGTAAGTGGAAGGACAGAGGGGAAGTGGAAGGACAGGGGGGGGGTGGAGGGGCGGGGGGGGGGGGGGAAGGGGGAGGGGTGGGGTGAGTAAGTGAAAGGACGAGGGTAAGTGGAAGAAGGGAAGGGTAAGTGGAAGGACGGGGGGGTAATTGCCACTGCCCTCACGGTGGGAGAGGAGGCGTGGGCTGTTTACGCCAGGCTTAGAGCTGAGTCTGTTCTTCGTTAGTGCCAGCTTTCCAACATCCCGCGTGTACTTGCAGCGGTAAAAATGAAAATTGTCCCGAAATTCCCATTTTGTTGAGGCTCGCGGCCGGCCTTCCCCTAGAAGTGTGTTTCGGTAGTAGCGTTCTCGCTCGCGCGTGCACGCGTGTGTACATGTAAGGGCTCCCGCAGCACGGCGCCTGCGTCAACGCCATGGACCTGTGGCAGTTCACGCCGCTGCACGAGGCGGCCTCCAAGAACCGCGTGGAGGTCTGCTCGCTGCTCCTGAGCCACGGCGCCGACCCCACGCTGCTCAACTGCCACGGCAAGAGCGCCGTGGACATGGCCCCCACGCCGGAGCTGCGCGAGAGGCTCACGTGTGAGTAGGCACCGCGCTGCCGCTTCCCCGCGTCCGCGCCTTCGGGCCCCAAAGTCCCCCGGGATCAAGCTCCGTGGCTCCCTGATGAGGATGGGAATACATCCCCTTTCCAGGAGGAAGGAGCGAAGGGTTGTTACCTTGGAGCTGCTCCTCGCTCTGTCCTCAGCTGCGAGAGGCGCTGGGATGAGTTTGCTGCCCCTCGGCCCCGATTAGCACGCAGAGAAATCCATTCAGGCTCCATTTCGTTGCCTGTATGTTCCTTTTTCCCATTGACACGGAAAACCCGTGTCCACTGATAATGACTAAGTCAGGTGCATCAGCCTGACCTTTCAATCAATCAAATTTGTCATCCCTCTGTTCAAAAGCACGGGCGTCCCCACCTTACCTACCCTAGATGAGACATTTTTAGTGTGTTATTTGTCACATGAGGAATGATATATTTATTTGCTGTTTCAATATTTATTTATGCTTGTGTTTGGTGCAATGTTTATCGAGAACTTTGAATTCTGTTTGAGATGGTGCTGATGGAAAGGAAGCCACAAATGCAGGGTGGAAGAAGAAAACTGCTCTTAACAAGTTTGGTGTTTCTAGACAGGTTGTTTCTAGTGCCTGAGTCCAGACCTTACCCTTGCCCACCTGCCTTCCGTTCATAGATTTTAAGGGAAATACTTTGCTCTATTCATTTTTTTTCCCTCTGTTTTCTATATTTAAGGGAAATACCTTTTCAGAGCTAATTCTAGCTTCCTTCCTGGCTGCCCTTTAACTGCGCCTCTTTCCCCACCAGATGAATTCAAGGGACATTCCTTGCTGCAGGCAGCCCGAGAGGCAGACCTGGCCAAGGTGAAGAAGACTCTCGCTTTGGAGATCATTAATTTCAAGCAGCCGCAGTCGCACGAAACTGCCCTGGTGAGATTTTTTATCACTTTTGTGATAAATGTGCTGGGAGCACTAGTTGAGAGGTTTTATTCCTGTGTTACGGAAGCCCATTCATCATCCGGGATTGCAGATTTGCCATCAAGCACTTGCTATTTTAAAAATAAATCACGGTTACAGAGATAACACTCTAATTGTGTTATCCCTTTTTTTTTTTTGTCTTTTCTTGGAGGGTTTCAGAAACCCTTAGGCCCTGGCTCCCTTGAGCACCAGTCACTTTTCTCTGCCTCTTTTCCCGGGGGCTGTTGCTGTGTATTTGCCAGGGCTGGATTCCATCCAGGTGGCCTGCAGCTTCCCTGAGGTTTCCTGGGGGCAAAGGTGGAGGCCAGATTTTCTCCGTAGGGTACCGAAGGCATTGGTGTCTCTTCTTCCCGTGCTGGACTTGGCCTCCTAGTCTGAATTCAGGAGCACAATGCAGAGGTACATGAGGCCAGGAGGACTCCTCCTGCCTTTAGTGCTGCTTTAGCCTACTGGCAAGAAAGCTGAATATATTCGTGTCTGCAAAGCCATAACTGTTTTGTCAGGTGCTTCCTGGGGTCTGTCCTGTTGTTAAGGCTCTTGTTTTGACACTGGAAAGTTTGGGAGCTCTTATAGAAAGTCCTTACACGCCCTTTGTCTTTACCTCCTTTTTATGTGTTTTTCATTTGTCCCTATATCTTATCAATGCAGTTGGAACATCCCACTTTGTCCTAAGTGCTGAAGCTTTCAAAAGAAACTAACTTTTCTGAACAGGAGACCTCAGCACTGGCCTGGGTCTTGACCAGCACGATGGTGTGTGCGGCAGCACCACGACGGGCTCTTTCCAATTCCACATGTATCTTCACTAAATGCTGCTTTTCAGAACATGCCCCGGGGAAGCTGTATCACCTCTGCAGTGCCACGGGCTCTGCCCATTCCCTAATTCCCTAACTCAGTGTTTTATTCTTTTGCAGCACTGCGCCGTGGCCGCGGTGCATCCCAAGCGGAAGCAGGTTACAGAGCTGCTGCTCAGGAAGGGGGCGAATGTGAATGAGAAAAACAAGGAGTAAGTTCCCCAAATCTGCCGTTTTCCAAAGGATGCTGTTGCATTGGGAATGCAAAGCTAATTCCTTCCGTTTCCCCCCCAGCTTCATGACACCTTTGCATGTTGCAGCTGAGAAAGCTCACAACGATGTCATGGAAGTTCTGCATAAGCATGGAGCAAAGGTAAATGTGCTGAAATACATTTTCGATAGGGTAAGAGGGAGATCTCTTCCTCCCCCAGCCGATAAGAGGTCATTTCTGCGTAGTTACCCCCATAATCAACCTCCATTTAGCTTAAAAATATGCATCTTCATGACAGTGTATTTCCTCGGCGGAGACATAGCCAGACTGGCAGGCTGCAATTCTGGTGGGAAACGACTTTTTTTCCCTTTTTAAACCTCTTTATTATTTGCTCTTCTTCTGTGATATGAAACCATGGAGATGCTCGCAGTTTTTTAGATTCCTCTATTAAATCTTTGCAGACAGATAGGTTTCTGTTGTGCTCTTTAAAAAAGCAATGCCTTTTCACGCTCTTGTTCTGCTTTGTCCATTTAAGTGGGTAGAACTATATCCAGTTATACTTCACTGCCTATAAAAGTACAAAAAAAGGGAGGAGGAAAATGGGCTGTCTGCATCCAGTCTCTCTTTTTTATCCTTTTTTCCCTCCTCCATCTAATTCTTCACCCAACACCTTTGTTGGCCTTTGGTTCCTGGTGGTGAGTGACATCGGACAAATTCCTCTTCCGAGCATGCCAGAGGGTAATTTCCATGGAGCTGTGAGAGGTTCGGTTCGTCGTTTGCCTCTCGCTGCCCTTCTGTGAGAGTCTGGCTCCTGTTGCACAAGGTTCATCTCTGTCCCGTTTGCTACCCCTGTGCCTTCAGGCACGCAGACAAATAACCTGCTTTATTAGGAGAGGGAAAAGGCCGTGCTGCAGGTTCCCTGTGTGTCCACACAGCTGCGTACGCCGGCGTCCGGTTTTGTTCAGCGCCAGCGCGCAGGCATCGGGGCTAAACCAGGGTGCTGGCAAATTCTCTTTATTGCTCTTCCTGTTAACAAGCAGGGCCAGATGGAGGCTTTGACCGAGCAGGACGTTGTGGTTTATGTCGCTGTGACCTTTTTGCTTTTTGCCTCGCCGTTCCCCTCAGATGAACGCCCTGGACACGCTGGGTCAGACCGCCCTGCACCGCGCGGCGTTGGCCGGTCACCTGCAGACCTGCCGGCTCCTGCTCAACTACGGCTCCGATCCCTCCATCATCTCCCTGCAGGGCTTCACGGCGGCGCAGATGGGCAACGAGGCTGTGCAGCAGATCCTGAGCGGTGCGTAGGGACACGGGCTCCTGCCCCTCGCTTCACAGCTGGGGATCTGGCTTCCTCCGCGGTGCCGGAGTCTTCCTCGTGTTTCCTCATCCCTCCCCACGTGCTCACGTTTATTCTTGGCTTAAAAAACAACACCCCGCTCTCGTGCAGGATTTCCATGCAAAGCAGGAAGAAAATCAGCACCTTCTGGGTGTGTATGCAGCTCTGCAGGGAGATAGAGGGAAGGCAGGTGGGTTGGTTTGTGCACCAGCTTCCAGGCAGGCCAGAGTTGCGTTGAGCCTGGCAAGGACCATTTTCTCCCATGAAAAACGCAGCAAAATGTTGATAATTACTAAACCGTTCAAGCTTCCCCTTCACGTGCTTTCTCACCCAGCAGAGAGCCATTTGGCGCTAAAAGTTCTCTGGGTGCTGCTTAGCAAGCGGTGTGTCCTCGTATAAGAAAGAGGAATAGATATTTGAAAAGGACAATGTATTTTTTTTGTAAGTGCTTGAGCTCTTTCGTCCTTTTATCCTTTCACGTGTTGGATGTTTGCAAGCAGGGAGAGGAATTGCATCAGCAGGTCCTGTAAGGTGGATATAGCATGCACGGAGTAACTCATATAATGGTGGGATTCGCAGGTAGCCCGAGGGAAATGGATATCCAGATTCCTGAGGAAACCAGGGTCGGGATGTAACTGCATTTTCCCCGGGGTTGTGGATAGCTTCGCCTCCAAGCAGATCAAAAAGAGGCATTTTACAGCACCGCAGGGAAGGGCCTTTTTAATGTGTCTCTCCTCTGGGGACACAGAGCTGGCCAGGGAGGGCAGCCCAACTGTTAGAGCATGGAAATGAGTGCTGAGAGAGAAGAATATTGAGAGGAATGAGGAAACAATCACCGTATCCCCTGCTGCTAAAAAGAATAGGAAATTGATCTGAGAAAAAACAAAAATCTTTATTCCGAAAGCACCCATTTGATCTTGCTTGAAAAATTCATTTTCACTGACTTTTCTATGGAAACTAATTTCACGTGTCAGACTGTGCTGCTTCTAAATGAATTACCTGTCTCTCACACGCACAAAGCTGTGCAAGGCTGAGAGATGCAAAAGCTAAAACCATGCGTACCAGAAGGTATCAGTAGCACAGGGTTATGGACACAGTATTTTCTGCATATGCCAGAAATGCTGAATTTTTCTACAAAATACCATTGCGTATTTCATTTTTGGGAGATTGGTTTAAAAAGATACGTTTTTTTCTAATCCTGGAGGTACTGGGATGTAGTAACAGCTCCCGGGCTGCTGAGCCGGACTTGTGCTTGCAGCTTATAACATTTTTCCCCTGTTTTTTATAACATTTTTCCCGTGGCGCTGGCCTTTTTGCTCACCTGTATCAGCCCTTGCGGCCCGCAGAGCAGAGCTATGAGCTCACAAGCAGGAGGGCAGCTCTCTGGTGACATCAGGGCCCGGAGACGGGGCTTTTGCTTACAGCTGGCGTCGTGGTTTTGGTCACATCTGTACCGCATGGCTGCGTGAGGAATGCCATCAAGCGAGCTCGTTAGTTATTTGCCAGTGCTGGCTGGAAAATGCTGCTTTTTTCGCTCCTCAGAAAGAGTAGGTAGCTTTGCTTCTCTGGGAATATCCTGCCCTCTCACCATTGAGCTGCCGCTTTCTTCCTCTTTCTCCTCCTCCCCTCTTCCTCCTCCTGCAGCGACCATGGAGTCTACAGGTAGCAAAAGGCTCCAGGCAGCGACGGAGCAAATTACAAGAAGAAAACAGGGCTGCAAATAGCAAATATTGCATCCAACTGAGTGGCTGAACCAGGGTCTGTCCTCAGCAAACCGCTGTCGCTCTGTGCCTCCCTTCCTTCCCTGTGATACTAGCACAAACCTGCCAGCTTTACGCTGAGGAGAAACCATTTAGGCAACGTGGTCCTTGCCCATCCCAGCTCGGAAAAACAAATGCTGGCAGGCTCCTCCTAGCTGCACTTTGGAAAATGTATCCCTATAACTAAACAATTGTGGGAAAAAAGAAATCCTCTTTTTCCTTATGCAGAAAGCACCCCTGTGCGCACATCCGATGTGGATTATCGCTTGTTAGAAGCATCCAAAGCAGGAGATTTGGAAACTGTGAAGGTACGTTGGGGCAACGCATTTTAAACCGTGCTTTCATGTGAGCTTTGGGGCCACAGAGTCCCCACGTCCCAGCTGGGGTTGGTCTCGTTCTCCACGGTCCATCCGGGGGCAAAATAACTTGTCCCCGTCCCCGTCTTGCACCGGTTGCCACCTTGAACCTCAGACAAGTATATGCAGAAATATTCGAGCACAGTTCTGTGCTCCAGGAGATCTGCTTGGTCCCCCTCGCTGCGCATGCCGTATTCCTGCGTTTCTGCAGGCAGCAGGGAAGCTGCGAGCGGTCCTTCGTGCAGAGAGTCTTGCAGGACCTTAAACCTGCTGCCCAATGTTCTAGAGGTCCAGCCTGAATGCCTTAGAGAGGCCTTCTTGCTGCTTCCATCATTTAGATCTTGTGTGTTGCAGAAGTGTCTTAAGCCCCATGTTTAGAGCTGTATTTTTAACCTTACCTCTTTGGAAAGAAAATTTCCAGAAAGCTGACTTCTAAAACGCGGAGCGTATTAGTTAAGAAAACTCTGGCATGCTCATATTTGACCTGCAGATCAAGTTTTGTGCTGGGAGGGGCGGCTCGGGGTGCTGGAATTCTCCTTTCCGGGGCCTGTGTTGGATGTTGTTTCTCCCTGCGCTTCCCCAGCAACTGTGCAGCCCCCAGAACGTGAACTGCCGGGACCTGGAGGGGCGCCACTCGACGCCGCTGCACTTCGCCGCGGGCTACAACCGCGTCTCCGTGGTGGAGTTCCTGCTGCACCACGGCGCCGACGTGCACGCCAAGGACAAGGGGTGAGCGCGCGGCCCCGCGCCTTCCCGCTCCGCATCTCCGTCGCCCGCGTGTTTTCCTCTCCGGAGCGCTGGCGTCGGCTCTCGGCGGCCTCGACGCGCCGCTGAGTCGCGTCCACTTTCCTGGCAGAGCTGTGGCCCAAGTACATACGTGGCACTGGGACTCGTGCCCCTTTTCTGTCCCTTCTGTCCACCAAGAAACTTGGTTGGGCTTAAAGGCAGCCTTTTGGATTTTTCAGGTGATGTAAGACTAGCTCAAGTGGCCTGAAGTAAATACCAGGATTCTCTCTGACTGTTGTTATTGCCCTCTTGTTAGCTTTTATTAAGCTACTCACTCAATTATGCTAAAACCTTCACATGTTTTGGCCTTATTTGCCAAGAAGTCGTGTAAAATAGCGCCGCTGAGTTTGATCTTTCACTCTGTTGTTGGAAAGCATTTCCGAGCCGGAAAATCCCAGGCTCTCTCCAACGAAAACATTTGTGCATCTTTCCCTGGTGTCAGGTGCGCAGTGCTTGCTAATAACCCACTTCAGACCCTTTGGCCGGGCCTAGGGACCTTTTCCAAAATTTACACTCAAATGTTCAACGTCAAAACATTTTGACAAAACATTTTATCCTCTCCAGCTGCTGATTTTTTTTTCTCCCTTTGCGCAGCGGCCTCGTACCCCTGCACAACGCCTGCTCCTACGGGCACTACGAGGTGGCCGAGCTGCTGGTGCGACACGGCGCCTCCGTCAACGTCGCCGACCTCTGGAAATTCACTCCCCTGCACGAAGCGGCAGCGAAAGGGAAATACGAGATCTGCAAGCTGCTCCTAAAGGTGGGGGAGCTGGGGGTCTCCGGCGTATCCTAAGTGCATTTATGCTCTGTTTTGCTTGAGATCAGCATCAAAGTTAACCACATCCAACAAGTTCTTCATTGTATATTTGAATTTATTCGTATCGTGGAATTGTTGGGTAGTTTCTTGCGTGAGGTAAGTTCACTCTGTAAAGATTCACGGATAGATTTTCCAGGACGTGCATTACTTTTAGTCAAACGTGCTCGGTTGATAATATTAGCCAAGTAGTAGCGCAAGGCTCCCTCAAGCCAGAAAGAGTTGAATTTATCTAAAGAGGACCAAAAAAAACCCACGCTGGTCCCATTCATCACTTTCTGGAACAGTCACTGCAATTAAATAGCACTTTGCAAGTGCTTATGCAAGGCTCTGTGTTGCAGAGGGCTGAAGGTGGCTCCTAGAAAGTGCCTGGTATTTGAGAAATTGAAAACTGCCAAGTTCATGTATAATTTAGCAAGCTGCTGGAGGAAATGTAGGTTAATATGCCGTGGAATAGGTATAAGGAGGAACTTGAAAAGGCTTAAGGGCGGTGCCAATAGGTTTTCAGTGAGGGACTTGAGCTTGAGAGGTGTTTTAATGTAGGGTCGTATCCTACTTTGTGATGGCAGAAGGGAGCTAGAATTTGCTCACTATTCCTGCCAGCTCTAGCTGCTGTGTGTGGTTGTGACCCTGGCGCTCTGCATTGCTCCTTGCAGCATGGAGCCGACCCGACGAAAAAGAATCGCGACGGGAACACTCCGCTGGACCTGGTGAAGGAAGGGGACACGGACATCCAGGACCTGCTGCGGGGCGACGCTGCCCTGCTGGACGCGGCCAAGAAGGGCTGCCTGGCCCGGGTGCAGAAGCTGTGCACGCAGGAGAACATCAACTGCAGGGACACGCAGGGGAGGAACTCCACGCCGCTGCATCTCGCAGGTGCGCGGCTCGCCGGGCCCCGTAGCCCCGTGATTTAGCCTCGAGTGGAGAGAGCAAAGCACCAGGAAACAGGACTCTTACCCAGAGCACCATAACTGTGGCAGGTGTAATACAGTTATTTGGAAAAGAGGAGCTTTTCCAGTCGGAATTGTTTTAGCTTTCCGGCCCGCCGCTTTTACGTTAGCCCAGCCCTCCTCATAGCTGCTTTCTCCTGTCTTTCCCGCAGCTGGCTACAACAACCTGGAAGTAGCAGAATACCTGCTGGAGCACGGCGCCGACGTGAACGCGCAGGACAAAGGAGGGCTGATCCCCCTTCACAACGCAGCCTCCTACGGGGTAGGTACAGGCTCTCGGCTTGCAGGAACCGTCACATCCGACACGCGTCGCGTCGCCTGCCTCGCTGGGAGCGAGCCCAGCCCCTGGCGCCGTGCCCTGCTTGCAGCCCCGCTAGCGCGGAGCTGAGGAGCACCGGGATCTGGGCGTCTCGGCGGTTTCCTTCCCAAGGGCCTCGCCAGCGACCCGCCGGCAAAGCCGCCCTCGTGTTTTGCAGCACGTGGACATCGCGGCGCTGCTGATCAAGTACAACACGTGCGTCAACGCCACGGACAAGTGGGCCTTCACGCCGCTGCACGAGGCGGCGCAGAAGGGGAGGACGCAGCTCTGCGCCCTGCTGCTGGCGCACGGAGCCGACCCCACCATGAAGAACCAGGAGGGACAGACGCCCCTCGACCTGGCCACAGTAAGTGCCAGCCACACGCGGCCCTGGCGGAAGCTCTCCACGTGTTAAAGAGCTTTCTAGGTCTCCATGGCACCGGACACCCTCAGTCATCCCTGTACTGGGGTCTACGGAGATGAGCATCTCCAGGGAGCTTCCTTGGCCAGGGATCCAGGTTTTTTCCTCCTTTGGTCTGAGACCTTAACACGGCTCGTGGCTTAAAGTTCCCCTCTCCTTAAGGGTTCACTGCTGTAATCAACCTTCTTGTTGACAGCAGCGAGCCTGTCAGAAATGTTCCCAATATCCTCATTTATTATTTCAGCATCCCAACATCCCAGGATTGGAAGGTGGTTATTGGCCTTTTCCTAAAACTGGTACCCAAAACCTTTTCATTAGTGGTAGTGGTGGCGGGCAGTTGAAAACCCCAATGAAGACACAGAAATGTTAAACATTACTGAGAGAGAACGTGACCAAAGTGGGTGCTGTGTCTGCTTCTGATGCAAGCACCTGCTAGAGAGCACTGATTTATTTGAGCAGAGCTCAGAAAACATCTTTCAGAGTAATCTAAGCTCTGGAAAACTTGCTTTGCCATGAGAGATATGGAAACTCTATTGAAGTCGCCCGTGGCAAAGGGGAGAGGTGTCCTAATTGTGTCCCACAAGGACCTGCAAAGAGGACGTTTTTGCAAGTGAGGAGACTGCCTCATTTGATGAGCAAAGGCACTTGGAAATCTGGCTGCTGGGTAAATTCATCCTCCTCCAGCCTCCCCCTTTTTCTCTTCTGCTGTAAGAGGCCGTCGCAGCAAAAGCAGAGCTGGAGTGTGTCCGTGGAAACCTTGGCCCATGGCGAGGTGTCCTGCCATAATCCGAGCCTGGCAGAGGGGCCGTGACCTTGCCCAGCGTCCAGGGGAGCTGGCCGCCGCGGGAGCCTCCAACGCCGGCGACGGCGCCGCCGGCACCGACAGGAAGGAGGCGGAAGGTGCGTTCGCCCCTCGCCGGTGGCTGGGTTTTGCCTGGGGCCTTCACGCAGCGGGGCGGCTTAATGTACACCTGGGTGGACAGATGGGGCGAGGAATCGGGGTCTGGAGTTTGGAGGGAGTGGGCGGTGCTGCTTGATTTTATTTGAGTGGAAACACCTCTGCGTGGGATGTAATGACCAGTTCCTCTTGTTGCAGTTGCTGGCCTGGACATGAACATTAGCCAGTTCCTGAAGAGCCTTGGTCTTGAACACCTCCGGGACATCTTTGAAACGGAGCAGGTAGGTGCCCTGCTGCACTCGTTGCCTGGCTTTGTGTTTCCAAGGTAGGCTCAGCCAGCAAATCAGGGCGATGTTTTAATTCCCTCATTTAAACAAGATGAGGAGAGAAAAAAATATCTACGGAGAGACAAATATAACCAGAGAAGCTTCAAATGAATCCCCAGAGCCCTTACAGTGAGGTATTCTCAAAGAAACCCGTGGAAGACTTTATGGGTGTTTGATTCAGATGTTCAGTGTTTTTCACTTTCTTAAAAAAAAAAACAGTGCCTGCCAATGCTGCTAGGGATCACTTGACTCATGATCTCAGAGTTACGCTGGACCTTGTAAATCTTGAGCCTCAGTTGCCAAATCGCAACAAGCTTTTTGCCCGTCGTAGTGCTGCCCGTGACACTTAGATCTGGAAGACACTCACCCATAAGCCGAATAAAAAATGTAGTTTGCCAGGATATAGCCACAGTGGGGAAGGCAGAAGCAGAGTTCCAGGTCGAGGTAAGGCTATAGCATTAACTGGATTTGCAGAGCTGAGACATTTTAAATACGTTCCCTGGCCTCCACTCCTAATCTCTTACAAGAGGTCAGGAAACAAATGCTTTAAAGGTGTTGTGATACAGAAAAAGCTATTCCAGCTATGCTAAAGGCTAACGTGGCAGAGGTGTGGCCTCAGGGTAGCACGCTGAGAAGTCCTATACAAAGTGGAGGCTTTTTTCTTTAATTTGGAATTGCTTCTTTTAATTCCAAATCAACCTATGTTCTGCTCACATTCCCGTTCCCTTATTTCAGCACTTCCCTTGGCAATGCTGTTTTCACTCCACCTTTTCTTCCTTAACCCCTAACCTGTTTTTAAAATCTGCCTTTGCTAATAAGATTTAAGGAAGGAAATCGGCTTTGCTAACCTTCCATTTTGAAACTTTCTAAGCTCTTGTTGCACGTTTGTCCTGGTGGGAATAAGCTCATCTCCACTGTCCTAACAGTCCAGCAAAAGTCTTCTGAGTCAAGTTGTACCGTTTCTTGCTGCTTGCTGAGCTTCCAATTGCAGGTCACTACAGAGATACATACACAGAAGTAGGTTTGACTTCAGGTGGAGTCTGTTTCTTGCACTCTGAAAAATATCATCTTGGCACACGATTCCTGTACGATAATAAAAATGTGCATTTTGCCTAGCCTTTATATCCTGCTCTTAAAAGTTCATTTGAAAGTGCATTTCGTTGCCTCCCTGCTTTCACCAATGATCTCCACGACCTTGGAATTTAGGGCCGGCGATGGTAGAAATCTCAGTGCATAAAAGCCAAGGACTGCAAGTGTCTGTGCTCCCAGTGGGGATTATTTGCAGCAATAATAGAGGGGTTGAGCAAAGCTGGCTTGTCGCTCGTGTGCAGACACGTGGGTGGATGCACACAGTAGGGCACACGCTGGGGAGATGCCTGTGTGAAGCACGTGCAGGGTTTGCCTGCAGGAGGATGCACGTCCGTTTCTGCTAGTGCGCTGAAACTTCCCAAATACACAGCGCTGTAAAACCTGGAATGGCTCAAAACTGTTCCCAGGAGTCACCTTGGCGCAATTTTCTTGGCATCCTGCTTCCACATGAGGAACAGGGAGGGATAAGGAGAGCCTTGCCAGGAGGTGGCAGCAGGTAGGAGCGCCGTGAAGCCGGAGTTACATGAATGTGGTTGCAGCGCAGATGCATTTCTTCCCATTTTCCAGAAGGATCGGTGTTCAGCCTCGGGAATAAGGCATTTTTGTGATGTCTTCACCTCTCCAGATAACCCTGGATGTGCTGGCGGACATGGGGCACGAGGAGCTTAAAGAAATTGGGATTAACGCTTACGGGCACCGTCACAAGCTAATAAAAGGCGTGGAGAGACTTCTAGGAGGACAGCAAGGTAAATACGACCCTTTGGCCATTGAATCTCAAGTGCAGCCTCCAGTTGCCTCCTGCAAGTGCTGGCTTTAGCCCGGGGCTTGAGAGAGCCTCAAATGGGCCCAGCCCTGGGGCTTCCTTGGCCCGCTGACCCCTAAGGCCCCTGCTGCTAACGAAATCACCCTGCCTGCCTGAGATTATGCTCCTGCACTCTGTCTGTTTTGCATTTCGTGCTGCACTGGGCTAATTTCGGAAGAAAAACGGTGATGCTGGATAAAAATAGGGCTGGTGCTGTTTTCTCCTGTTGTTTATTTTCTGCTTGTTACTCCTCTGATTGCTCCTCCCTGCAGGCACCAATCCGTATCTGACGTTCCACTGCGTGAGCCAGGGCACCATTCTCCTGGACCTGGCTCCTGATGACAAGGAGTACCAGTCCGTCGAGGAAGAGGTATTGCAAATACCCTCCTGCCAGCACTCCCGGGGCACTGCTTTTATAAATACCTTTTAAATACGTTTTTAAATACTGGAACCCGACTGCCTTTTGTCACGGGCCATTTTTCACGTATCGGAAGTGTCACCGGGTTACGAGCAAACAAAAAAAGGGGCTTTTTCTCTCCTTTTTTTGGAGCTGAACCTAAAGATAACGGGATTGTTCACTAACTCTGCAGAGCGAGAGCCCGTGGCATCCCTCAGAAGCGATAAAACGCATTTTACTCTGCACATTGTGCAGCTCTGGCGTGGAAGTTAGACCTTGTAATGGGTTTTTAGGCCTTTTTTTTGGAATATACCGCCGTGATGGAAAGCCCTTGTGCTGTTTCCTGCCCCTTTTGTAAAGGTCTGTCTCCTACCTCGGGTTTCGGAGCGGACCAAAGGCAGGAGCCCGCGGGAGGGGAGCGGGCTGGCGCCGGCCCGCGCGCGGCATCTCCAGGCGCTCCTCTCTAACCCAGATAAACAGCTCGTGGATAATTGAGAGTTGGCTGTAATTTTGCCTCCCACGCACACACGCTCTTTTATTTGCCTGAATTGCAGGCAGAGATAATTTTGAGCGGGGAAAAAAATCCAAACAACAAAAACATGAGGCTTTCGGAAGAGTTGTGGCTGGAAGAAGCTCTGCCTTCCTGTGCATTCCCTGTCTCTGCGTGTTGCTGTTCCTCCGCTGTGGTGCAACAGGGGTTTTAAAGCCTAGATACTCACAGCTGCTGCCTGGATGTATGCAAAGCTATCGAGAATCTTTTTTTTTTTTTTTTAATTAGAGAAGTCTGTAAATCACAGGGTTTGCACAGAATTTTCCTTTAAGCTTACCTGACAGAGAGGGTCACCTTTCTGCCCAAGGCAATTGGGATGTTTATTGGCACTGCTACTAAACAACGTTGCTGCAGCTCTAAATATGCCTTGAAAGGACCCAGCGAAGCTGTTGAAACCCTGGGGACCTGCTAATGACGTAGGATTTTTTCTTTTAGTGCAAGCATCTTCCTGTTCCTCATAAATGCAGACCTTGTGCTCATTAGAAACCCCTTAGTTGTCACTTTGAAATGATCTTTGTGTATACTCATAACTTCGTACGGATAGATGTTTTTATTTTCCAATTTAAAGCAGTTTTTTTTTTCCTGTGTGATTTTGGTAGCAAGTTTCAATATTCTGCTCCCTCCCATGTAGGTTTTTAGTGAAAGACTGGACCATTTAAGGGCAGGATTGCTTCGACCTCCCTCTCCTCCAATGCTGTGGAGCAGCATAGTGCATTGGTGCCCAAGGAAATCAAGCTTACAACTGAAATCTCTTTTTCTGACACCTTTTAGTTCATTTTTGGCACAAAATGCCTGTTGCTGCCAGTGAAACACGGAGCTCTTGAGTGGGTGCTTGGCCTGGCTAGTGAGCTCTGTGCTTTCTGCTTCTGTTCCTTCACCTAGATGCAAAGTACGATCCGGGAGCACCGGGATGGGGGGAACGCTGGCGGCATCTTCAACAGGTACAATGTCATCAGGGTACGTATCAAAGCTTCCATCTCTTAATTTCTCTCCCCCAAAATTGTTCCATTTCTTTACAATTCAGCATAGATGTCAGACAGCAAACTGGAGAAAGCCCAGGCTAGCCCGCAGAGGGGAAACTCTAAAGCAAGCTGTAAATCCCCCTGGTTTGAACGTCTCTGATGTCTGGAGCTGGCGGTTGTGAGGCTCAGCCTTAGATGCAGGACTGCCCTGATTTGTTTATTATGATTATTATTATTATTAAGCCATTTGCACGTCTTACTGCCAGCTCCGCGAGGCTCCGTACCCTTTCCACTAAAGCGCCTGCTCAGCCCTGTGCTTCCCCTGCAGATTCAGAAGGTTGTGAACAAGAAGCTGCGGGAGAGGTTCTGCCACCGCCAGAAGGAGGTGTCGGAGGAGAACCACAACCACCACAACGAGCGCATGCTCTTCCACGGTGAGGATCCGGAGCGCCGCTCCGATACCAACTGCTGCTCCGCAGGTGCTCGAGCTGCCAGGCCCGCTCTAGCGGCGCTGCCAGCAGCCCTGGGGAGATGCTGCAGGGCTGGGGGAAGGCAGCAGCTCACGGATCAGTGTTCCCTGTGCTCAGACATGCCCTGCTGGCCCAGGTCCTTGTAGGAATTGGGCTTGGGGGTGTCCGTCCTGCTTCCATCTTCAGCAGCCCTCACCGCTGGAGGAGGTGTGCAAGGCCGGTCATTGCCTGGAAGCGTGAGCGGGGGGAAGGCATTTGATGCGCTCTGGGAAAGGAGCGAGGGATGAGAGTCACACGTGGGACCTTGCTGTGAAACCAGCATGGCTCCCGCGCCCGGCGGGAGCCCGCCAGGATGCGGCCGGCGGAGCGGGATTGGCGTCGCCGGCGCTGCCCTCGCCGCAGGCTCGCGTGACCCTTTTGCCCCGTCCCCTCGCAGGCTCTCCCTTCATCAACGCCATCATCCACAAGGGCTTCGACGAGAGGCACGCCTACATCGGGGGCATGTTCGGAGCGGGCATCTACTTTGCGGAGAACTCCTCCAAGAGCAACCAGTACGTGTACGGCATCGGCGGCGGCACGGGCTGCCCCACGCACAAGGACCGCTCCTGCTACATCTGCCACAGGTGGGTGCCCGGGGAGCTGCCCCTGGGCCGCGTGTGCTCCTGGCGCGGGACAGCGAAACGGCAGGGTCCGCCCTGGGTCCAGGCTGGGCAAAAGGGGCACAGAAGCAGCAAGTGCCATGGGAAGGTCCAGAGCTGCAGCTGGACACTAATAGACACCATGAGTGTGAACCGGTGCTCGGCAGGGGCTGAAGCAGCATGTCTGGAAGCCAAGGCTGAGGAAAATGGCTGTTAAAGTCGGGGCTGTCCCGACGCAAAGCCGCGACGCGCAGTGGGGCCAGCAGGGCTGTGGGTCAGGGCGGTGTGTCCCTGCGGAGCAGCCCTCCATCCCAGGTGTGGTTTGCGCTGGAGCAGCCGATGCGCTCTGCACAGCCCGACCCTCCTCCTCCTCCTCCTCGTCCTCGCCGCGGGGCGCAGGGGTGCTGGCAGCCTGCGGCTCCCGGCGAGGGGTTTCAGCGTGGCGCTTTCCTTGCAGGCAAATGCTCTTCTGCAGAGTGACCCTCGGCAAGTCCTTCCTGCAGTTCAGCACCATGAAGATGGCGCACGCCCCGCCGGGGCACCACTCCGTCATCGGGAGGCCGAGCGTCAACGGGCTCGCGTACGCTGAGTACGTCATCTACCGCGGAGAGCAGGTAAGCGGGTGCCAGGGCACGCGCCGGGGCAGCCCTCAGCTGTCCCCTGAAGCCGCACGGCTGTCGCCAGGAGCCCCTTCGTAGCCCGAAGGACTCGGCCAAGCCCCTCGCTCCAGAAAAGTGGTTTGCCCCGTAGTCCGGTGGGGTCAGGATCGTCAGATGAACTTGGAATAGAATCATGGAATCGTTGTGGTTGGGAAAGACCTTCAAGGGCATCAACTGGGTTTCAGAGCAGCCCTGGGGGCTCGCCTAGGGCAACCTCTTGTCCCCACTGGATTCGGGCTAGGCTGCTGGGTGCTTTGACCAGGCAGGTCTTGAAGACCTCTGAGCATGGAGCTTCTCCTGGCAGTTGCCTAAGGAGCTTTTTGCTTATTTATCCCCAGAGCAAAAAATACAGCTTCCCCCCAGTAGGAACGTGCCCGGTGAAGGCACTTGCAGGTCCCCTGGCAACGGGGCAAGTGTTCAGCACTGCGGGCCATGTCAGAGCTCTGTTCACTTGGGTACCTTTGGGCGCTCGTTGCTGTTTGCCAGCTGTGAACACCAAGTGCAACAACATTGTTTTGTTGTGTTTTTTTGTTTCCTTGGCTCGCTTTCAGGCATACCCAGAATATCTCATTACGTACCAGATTGTGAAACCAGAGGCTCCCTCACAGACAGCGACAGCAGCAGAGCAAAAGACCTAGTGACTGCGGGGCAGCACAGAGGGATGTGACTTCAACCTTGGACTGGATGGACGCGTGTTTCGGAGTATCGGTATCCTATAAATTCCCTAAAATCCCGGAAAATAAGCTGTATGTCCTTTATAAAGCATTGCTCCCTTGGTGAATACTGAACGAGTGACCCTGCAACCTCGACAGCTCCTGCTCCTCCCGAGGGAAGGCGCTGCTCGGATGGAGCCCTGGGCGCTCTGCGGGCACCGCTCTGCCGCGGCGCCAGCGCACGCGAGGATTTCAGACCCTGCTGCCCCGTTACGTCATTTGCAGATAACTCGCATTACGCTCATGGGTTTCCTCTCCGCATGCATCATTGCTTTCATGTTCTCGAGGGAGCCGACTCGCCTATTTATTCTCCTTTTGTACTCCCAAGTTGAGCCAGAAGATTCCTGAAGACATTTTGCACAAAGCCGAGCCGACCGCGGCCGTGAGCAGCGCGGCACGAGTTCCATCCGGGAGGGGGCTGGCGGCAGCCCTCGGGCCCAGGGCCTCCCCACGCGGCGCTCCCAAAGGAAACCCCAGGAACCAGCAGTGTTCCGCACGTCCCGAGTCCCGGGCTCCGTGTGCCATGAGCTGGCGCTGGACACGAGGCTCCCGCTTCACTTTGTGACCCGCTCGAACGCGGCGCTCCGAAACGCGAGGTGCGTCGGCCTCATGAGCGGATTCCCCGGATAACACGTGGCTGCTTGTGTTTTGGCTACTTGTTTGGTAGTGTTGGGGTTGCGAGGATCCCCGCTAGGCTCAGAAACGTGTGCGTGTTGCTCTTCTGCAAGCGTGGGGTTGATTCTTGGCTTAGTTCATGCCGGAGCGTGTGGTTGTGTGGGGGAAGGGGCCCGGCCCCCTTGGACGCGGGAGCCGCCGGGATGCGGATCCCCTGAGCAGCGTCACGACCTTCAAGAGCCACGAGCAAACCTGGAGCGGCCACGGATCCGCACAGATTCCTGCCGGGATGCAGGTGGGAAGGGGCCTCTGGAGATGCTCTCGTGCAGCCTCCTTGCTCAGGCAGGACCGTGTTTCAGACCCGCACTCCCCGAGGATGGAGACTCCGCAGCCTCTCCAGCACCTCCGACTGACCGGCGCTGCTGCCCCAACGTCCCCAGGAGCAGCCAGAAGAAGGTCCCCAAAGCGTCCAGCAGCGGAGGCGCAAGAGGTGCGTGAGGCCGGAGAGGGACCCTTGGCTCTGGAAACACAGCCGCCGACGCCGAGGGACACTGGCACATCGAGCCGCTGCACGCTGCGGATTGGCACCTGTGGCAAACGGTCCTGAAAAAGGGGGCAAACGGCCTCAAAAAGTGCCCAGGTGGAGGCAGCGGAGCGGGACCTGCCCACAGCACCACCCCGAGGCAGATTGAGCTCCCAAGAAGGTGGGGAAAAAAGGGCTCCTAGCCCGAGCAGAGGCGCGCTGGAGTCGCTGCCCGTCCTGGTGAGGCCGGAGCCTGCGGCGTGCTGGGGCGGTGGTTTGGGGGGCTTCCTGCCCTCCCTCCTGGGCGCAGCCCCTGGTGCCCGACGAGGCGGTTCTGGCCGCGCTGCTGCTCCCCTGCAGCCCAGAGCTCTCAGGGACAGCGGAGCGCCCCAGCGCACCCCTTGTACCCTTTTTCTCCTGGGTTTTTGGTGTAACTCTCCTTCATAACCAGCCCTGCTTCCTCTCTTGGTTACCCCATACCTGGGGTGTCATTTATTTATTCCCTCCCTGTCTGGAAGATGATGATGACGATGATCATGATCATGATGATGGCAGGGCCTTCGGCACCAGGGGCTTTGGGCAGCAGTTCTGTAACACCCGGGCTTGGTCTCTCCGTGTGCTTGGCTACGTGTCTGATCTGCAACCCTTGTAATAGTTTAAAGTCCAATAAATACATTTTTAACAGCTGTCCCCGTGAGAAGCCGAGTGTTTGAGCCACCCCCCCTGCCCCGGGCCTCCCTCCGCCCCTCGCACAAAGCGGCTCCAGCCACAGCTGCTGAAAACTCCTTTATTTTTATTTTCTCCAAACACTTTGTGTCCTCTCCTTCCCCCACCCTCCCCCGGCAATAAATAAAAAGTTGACCTCTAGAAAAACGAAACAGAAACGGCAATAAAATAAAAGCGCTCGTATGTACAGCGGGACAGGGAGGCGCCGGGGCAGCCCCGCAGCGGGGCAGGAGCAGCCCCGAGGGGGCCCTGACGGGGACTCCGGCCCTGGGGGCCCCCGTCCCCGCGCTGCAGCCTCGGGCCTCTCTCATGCAGCAAGGGGGGACACTCTTCACTCGACCCCTCAACCTGCTCCTTGCTCGACTCGGCCCCTCTTGACACCCAACGGGGGCAGCGGCGGGGCCACAAGGGCCGGGGTAGGGTGCGATGGGGGTTCTTGTGGGGGGCTTTTCCCCCTCTTTAAGCCAGGGCAGGGAGGGATGGACAGATGGGGCCAGGCGCTCGGGGAAGGCCCGGGGCCCCCTCGGCACCTGCCTCGCACACCCGGAGCCTGGCAGGGCCTGGGGTCTCCCTGCTTCCCTGCACGGCTCTTCCGTGAGGTTAAAAACGAAACCCAAGGAGATCAGCTAAGAAACTTCTCTACCGAAACCAGAAGACACCCCCCTTCTCGCCCGCCGCCCCGGCGGCAGCGTCCGTGGGCCCGGCGCGCTAGCAGCTGGGCGACGTGGTGATGGGGCTGTGCAGGTAGGGCAGGCTGCCCGGCGCCCCCACGGGCACCGGGAAGCTGAAGACGAAGGGCGAGGCGGGGGCGGACGCGGCGCCTGGCGGGCTGGCGGCCTCGGCGGCGCACGACGAGGCCAGCACCTGCGCCTCGAACTGCAGCAGCTGCCCCATGAAGCTGAAGTTGGGCGAGATGACGCTGCGCCGCTGCTTCACGAACTCGAAGGCCTCCTCCAGCCGCACGCGCTTCTTCATCATCAGGTAGGCCAGGCAGATGGTGGCCGAGCGGGAGATGCCGGCCTGGCAGTGCACGAGGACGCGACCGCGCCGCTCCTGCACCGCGCCTGCAACCGGGGAAACGCGGCGGAATAAGAGCGGCGCCTGAACCGACGCGCTGCCCACACGCGCCACGAGCCGACAGGGCAGAACGGCCACTCACCGATGTACTCGATGGCCTGCGTGCACCAGGCGGTGATCGCGGGC